GTTGAACCTCAGCCAGGGTTCCCATCATCCTTCCCCAGCTAGGTCTGTCCTTACCCGGGAATACCATGGGGCTTTCACTTGCATTTTTTTTTGTTTTAAATGAGAGAAGGAGAAGGACTCACTATAGGGTTTTGCCACACTGCAGTCCTTTTTCCCTAGCTCTCTAGCTTCTCAGAATCTGGGGTGCCCGTTGTGTTATCAGACTAACCCAGGAATCCAAATCTGCAGTGAGCTATATGGCTTCTGGCCTTGCAGGGCACTGTGATACTGCTGTGCCACAGTGGCTGGGTCTACCCTGGGGTCTTGACCCTGTAATTCCTGTCATCAAGATTCACTAGTCCTGGTATCATTATTTCAGGACTTCACGGGAAGTCTGACTTGCCTTGTCAGGCTAATTTCAGTGAAAGCTTTGAGGGATGAAATTATTTTACTGTGTTTACTTGCAGTAAAAGAGAATTCATGAAGATGCAAGCCCTAATGTAAACGATTGACTGACCCTCTTATACTGGGCAAGTCACAGCAGGAGACATTTTTTGGATGACATTTATCTAGATCTCCTCAAATAAAGAAACTTTCTTTTTGTAAGATATCAGGTATTCAAAAAAAGAAGTCTCTTGTCTCTTTAGATTGCTTTTTCTTTTCTTTCTTTCTTTTCTTTTCTTTTTCTTTTTTTTTAACCAAATACTTAGGGAAAAGCAGGGAGCATGGACTACTTAAATTGTTGATTTTCCAAGCTTTTATGCGTTTACCTTTGAAAAGACTATAGACTCTCAGAACTAGCCCCTAAGATTTTGATTCGAGAGATCTCTGAAGAGGCATTTTGGAAAATAGTAGACTAGACCTGTAGGCGGACTTTATTCAGTACACAAATCCTACTGACCAAACAAGCTGGCTCTCTTTAGTCAGGAGTTACTTTGAACAGGAAGCAGATATTGATTAGCAAGACCAAAATCAATCAGTTCCAAATTCCAATTACTTGACAATTTTTCATCAGCTCACCACCATTGATTCTCCTTTGCTGGCAAGCGGAAATATTGCCCAATAAATTGAATATTACATGTGCGTGATTTAAAAAATAAACAACAACAACTTTGGCGACCAACAGATAGTGTAATGGTTACGTCGCTGGTCTCCTATATAGTCAACCGTGGTTTGAGTCCCAGACCCATCAATTAAAACTTACACTGGGTACATGTGAGTGCATGCCCAAAATCCTGAGAGGAGACTAGAAGAGAAGGGATTGCAGTGTGGTCATTACTCCTGGGGGGTGATTTTTCGTTTTCTGTTTCTGTCTCTCCGGTAAGCACATGTGCCCTATAGCAAAATCTTCTCTTCAAAAACAACAACAATGATTTAAAACAAAACAAAATGGCCTCAATAAAGCAGACCAGGTGGTATAAGACGTACTGTAGGAAAGGGTTCATGATAATTTTAATAAAGAAAACAGGGAACAAAAATGATATGTTGCTTGATTTAAATATTACTGCAAACTTTTGCCTTGTTTTGAAGGCATTTCCAACACAGAGAAGACCCATTTACCAGAAAACAGATCCTTCATAATACGATATGATGCTAGTGCAGTGGAGAGAATCCCTCCACAATGTGCTCCCTCAGTAATGGGTGCGCGCTGAGTCATTCTTCAGTACAGTCTGAGGTGATGGCAGCATTGACCTATCAACTTTTTGCACAGAGGGAAGACTCACACATCCCACTGTGAACATAGGCAAGAAGCCTTCCATCTCGCAGGCCTCAGATTCTTCATCGCATCTCCTTGCCATCACTAGCAGAGGTTAGAGGGTACTCTGTGATGATTCCATAAGCACAAACTTTCATGATAGATTTGACTAACTTGCTAGAATACATACCATAGGAGTTGACCCTGGCCAGGACAAAGCCTTCTCTTAGAAGGCTCTCACTTGTGCAAACAAGAGCAAGACTCTCAGACAACTACGTGGGTTGAAGCAGGCTTTCTCAGAGAAAAGTCCATATCTCACTCATTTGTATGTAATTTCAAATATGAACAACAAAAATGCTTTTATAATCTAGACTTTTGCTTACATGATATCAAACATTCTGAATCATATTTTTACTTAAATAGCCATCTCATGGTGAGCAAAATTAAAAAGAAATATTGCAAGGTTTACATGGATGACTTTGGTGCCAGTTTTCTTAGGCTCAGCTGAAAAGGGCATTGATTAAAGGTAGTTCAGCTAATTTATGAATAATCCAAGAATCTTATGTCTAATTCAATACACTGGAAGTAGCTACTTAGGAAAAAACAAACAAACAAACAAAAACCCAAAAGAAACAGGGTGGTTTCTGGTTAACCAACATAACCAAGAACTAAATTCACTTATTATCTCTCTCTCATTTTTTTGAGAAAGAAATTTTACAACGAGAGTTTATTTTATCCTGTTATGGGAGGGAGCAAGGGGGGGTAGCATTTTTGCAGGGTCTTGCCATGATGATCCTCTGCCCCAGTCTCTCAGTCACCTAGGATTAAAGATGTCCACAATTGTTCCCAGCCTGTTTTTAGGCTAGTCTGGGAATTGGACCTGGGCTCCCTTGTGGTCATAGCCTCATCCAGCAGGAAATCACTGTGTGCATCATCAGGGCTGGTCCCCAAATTCACATCTTTTAGAGTCAGATAAGCTAAAATGTGTAGAATATAGGACAGAAATAAAGAGAGTTCCCTTGGAATGCTAGCACTTGCAGCTATGTCTCGGGCCTGGTGCAGCTGGAGGCTGAGTTGAACAGTCAAAAGGACAGACTTGCCTCTTACCAACCAAAAGTCACTGGACAAAATCCTTATTCTCTCAAAGCTCCAGTTTCCTTCCTTGTTAGCTGGGGTAATAAAATACTCAACTTATAGGCTTCCTGTGAGAATATTAAGAGGATGCAGATAGAGCCCTGGCATATGGTGGGTACTTCAAGTGCATTTGCTATTATAAGATCAAAAACAGCAGTTTGTTCTAATACAAGGAGAGAGAAAGCAAAGTGTGCAAGAATAACATTGTAAGTCGAAGGGGCAACAAAAATTGAATTTGGAATCCCCTCTGTGGGGAAAAGAAAGTATAGTCTTCATTGAATAGCCATAAGGCAATAAATATTCATCAAGGATAACTGCTTGCCTAGATGTGCAAACTTCTTCAGTCATAAAACCCAGAAAAGATGTGTTGGGGAAGCAGGTGCTCTTACATTTGAAATAGGTTTCTGTTTCATAAGATCTTTTCACATACTTGTCCTGGGAGATAAGTAGGAACAAGTGCGTGGAGTCAGGGCAAAAGCAAGGCCACAAGGTTAGATATCCATCCCCTCCTGCCAGTGAGATCTTGAGCAGGTCATGCATTGTTTTTATCTATACAATGGGGAGGATGACATCTAGGGTTGCTTCTCTGACTTCAAAAAATAAGATGTGAATTTGGTTCTCAGTTGGTGTCTATCATTCAAGAGCCAACCCTTAATTCTTCTCCTTCTTCCTTTTTTCCTTTGTCCAGTAACTAATTCCAAGGAATTCAAGGGCTGCTTTAAAGATTCTATTAATATAAGATAAAGTGTGCAATGATCTTAGCCCAGTACCTGGCAGAGAGAAGTCAATACATTGGGCCTCAAATGATCAAGATATCATCATCTCTATTCTGTTGGAAGGGGGCTGAGGTTCAATAGCTAGTTAATGGCAGATGTGAAGCCAGACCCCTGAGACAAGTCTTTATCCAAGAACAAGTGTCATGGTGATTTGCCTGAAACTTTGGCCTGACAGGTAAGATGACTTGTTAGAGGTCTCAAAGCATGTCAGGAATGTGGGGGGCACAGCATCTGGCCCTTCTGTTCGGTAGTCATTAATCCACAGGCAGCATGTACAAACCTGCTCGAAGACTGTTAGTTTATCACACCACGAAGGAAATACAACCACTCTGGCAAAAAAGAGCCTTGAACCTTGTGACACTCCCTGGTAATCTTGCCTCTTGGACAATCTAATGTGAGGTATCAACTGCCAACTGCATGGTTTCTGTGCAGTTATTTTAGAATAAAAACCAAACTAAATTAGAGGGCTTTTTTGGGTTATTTTTGTTTTGTTTCTTTTCTAATAATGAATTTCTTTTCTCTCTACCAGGTCTAAAAAATTAGCTTGAATCACAGTAGGCTGTAGGCTTCTGTCTCTTCCTACTGACTTAGATTTACACTCCCTTTTATTTTGTACCACAATTTTCTACAAAGAAAGAACTAAGCTTGGAGTTGGATGTTGATCAGGAGGGATGAGAGGTAGAGAATGCACACATATAAAACCAGACAGGTGGGAACAGTTGCTGTGTTGAGGCTGATGGAATTGCTCTTTGAATGAATTGAAGACAGAGAAGGTGCCTTCTGGAAGAGAAGGGTGTAGCATTAATAAACAAAGTGTGCCTTACATAGCCCTTAGACACTATAGTCAAGTAGGTGGAACTAGGAATGTATTCTAGCTTTTCGTATTTGGCAATTTATAAGCATACTGAAAAGAACAAGGGATTGTGAAGTAGGGTAGATTTCTAAAGAAGATAAATGTATGTCCCTGAACCCTTTCCTACAGTCACAGAGACGTTATTTGTAAGGCAGAGGGCTAGGGGATGGTGGTAGACATCACAAAGCTATTTTCCTCTCATCTTCAGCATCACATGAAAGATGCTGGGATGCTAAACATAGTTTACAACAGTCTACTAATTAGGATTTTGTCCAGGATGAATAATTTTGCTAATCTGCATATTTTGACAATTTGCCATGTACATTCTTTTCTGGATTCCTATTTCTCAAGAATATGTACATTATCAATCCACTTCTCCAGCTGCTTAGGAGAGTTCTTTGTGCAGTTTCATTATGAATTATAAAGAATGAGAGGTTTGGACTTGAAGACAGCAGGCTGCACTTACAGAAATGATGGGCTGAAAATACAGAACCTCATTGAAATGATAGAATATTGATTGTTGAAAGACTTACGTTCTTTAGGTAAAATATTTTTAACTTACCTGCCTCTCGGTCCCTGATACAGTAGTCTGGAGAATTCTCAAAATACACGAGGTCATTTTTCGTTGGCTTCTTAAACCTCTTGTTAGCCACAGTGAAACCAGTGCCGTCCTGATTCATGACCACCTGGATGGCCCCATTGTACTTCCTCCAGAGATAATCACCCGTTTTTCTGAAGTCAGCCATGGCCAGCCAGCATGTCCTCAGAGTACATGAGCCACTCACACCATGACACTTGCATTCTTGTTTCAAGAACCGCTTTACAGCCTGCCAGGGAAGAGGGCAAGTTTAGCAGAGTTGGCCTCAAGCACGTGGCATGTGGTGCAACTTTCCTTGTGTCTGAGCAATTAGGAAGTGACTCTGAGGGTGCTGGATCTTGGAGCTAATGACTGGGAGATATTGGGGCGTTTGTCAGTTGCTGGTCACTTTAGCCACAGTGCACTGACTGCAGTAGGCAGGGGTAATGGGTAGAGAGTGGAGAGGTAGTGCCCTACTTGTGAACCCTATTGGCTATCAGTAACACAAATACCTCACTATTTGGGCTGACCCTGCAGCCTACTGGTTCAGGAGCATGATCCCACATAGCTAACTGCATGGTTCAAATCCCAGCCCCTACAGCTTGTAAAACACAATGAGTATGTTGTATGTATGTCCAAACAACAAGGTAGAGAAATGGAGAAAGGATTGTGGAATGACCATACCCCATTGTGTGTGTTGGGGGCGGTGCTTTTTCACTTTCTTCCTCCACTTCTTTCTGGTTCTATCTCTTTCTGGTCAGTGTACATGCCCTCTGGCAAAACAAAACAAAACAACTCCCCACACTATGTAGTAGGGGATACAACCAGTTTGAAGATGAGGTACTGTATTAGAATATTTTCTAAGTAAATATACCTTTATCATATTAAAAATCTATACTGTTGGGGCTGGCAGGTGGCGTGATAGTTAAGGGTGCTGGACTCTCACATGGCATAGTGTGGTTCGAGTCCCGGACCTGGTGGCTTGCTTGCTTTCTCTCTCTCTCTCTTTCTCTCTGTTCTTTTCTGGCCAAATTAAAATAAAATAAAATAATAAAGATAAAAATAAAACAATTCTTAAAAAATATCTATACTGTTACTCAAAATGGATTAACAAAGTAATTTTCAAGTCTCCAACTTTCAATAAACCAATACTAGTAACTGTTACTATTGAGTACTTTCTATGTCTCAGGTACTGTGCTAATACTTTATACAAACTATCTCAATGACTTACTCTTCACAAAAGTCCCATGCTACTATATTTATTTTGAAGATGTTGATGAACAAGACTTAAAGATGTTGAAGCACATGCCCAAAATTACCTAGCCAGCAAATGACAGAATCAAGTTGCACTGGAAGGTGACATTAAAGGCTTATACTAAATTAAGGAGACTATTCCTCAACTCTGGCCAACTTAATCAGTTGAAAGGGCAACATTTGCTCTGATCTTTCTCAGAGAACAAGCAAAGGAAACTGGCACGAGCCTATCTCACATGGCTTCCAACACAAAAGACCCAGGACTGTCCAGGGAAGTTTCTGCTGTGAGCTTGAGATGAGCCAGCAGAGATGCGCCATCCCCAAAGTGATTTGGTGAGTGTTATCTCACTCTTGACTATTTCACCTTGGCTTGCCTAAATGAGGGGAGGCTTTAGCATTCATGGTACTCACAGAATCCCTGAGCTACTGTTCTTGCCATTTTGCAGATGAGGAAACCAGGAATCAGGGAATTAAGGCTCCAAGACCTGAATGTGAAATGGCTGAATGCAAACCCCCATTCATTGGGTTGCTGGGAAAGTTATGGCACATTTTTGCATAGACAAACATAGAAAAATACATCAAGACTTTCCTGATGACCTAATAGAAGTCTTTCTAATTCATATTATGTACAAATAAATGAATTTATTCAAAATGTTTCTCGGAATATGCTTTTTGACTAAAAATCTCTCCTTGTCCCCTTTTTACATGATCCACTACTATAACAATTGTCATCTTTTCCTCTCCTAACACTTAGTGCTAATCTCTTGTTTGAGTCATCAGTTTTCTAAATCATTATAGTATTCAAAGAACTTTTGCTATTCTGCTGACAATGAGGGGCTGCCCCCATCATATACTCAAAGCACTGTGACACACAGAGGGCTGTGAGGGAGACCACCAAACCTGGAGATATCACCAAACCACAGCTTTGGTCCTCACCTCAGGACTAGACCAGAGGAGGAGGAGCCTGCCTGTAGGCAGAAGCCAAGTTGGAGTGTATCAGGGCTGAGGGCACAGGCAGAGGAGATAGCAAACCCCTAATGAGATTCTGCAAACTGGTACTTTGAACAGAATTCTTGGGGTGGATATTTCTTTCTTTCTTTTCTTTTCTTTTTTTTTTGGGGGGTGCGGGGGGGGGAGAGGTTTTTGCTATCGGGCATGTCTCCTTGCCAGAAAGACAGAGAGACAGAAAGTGAGAAATCACCCCCCGGGGGGAATGGCCACACCACAATCTCTTTTCCTCCGTTCTCTTCTCGGGATCTTGGGCATGCACACACACACGCCTGGTGTGATTTTAAGCCATGGGATCAGGGACTCGAACTGTGGTCGACTACATGGGAGTCCAGTGACATAGCCATTATGCCAACTGCTGGTTCTTGGGGTGGGTATTTCTAAGAACTTGGAGGGGGAGTTTCACTCCTGCTCTGCCTACTTCCTGAGCTTCTGATAAGCCATCTTGGTTGTGCAGGAGGAGGTAGATGGCTCCAGAATGCAGCCTGGGGTGTGTGGGGGGAAGGGGAGGAGGCCTCGTGAGTACATGTGTCTTCTAGCAATTAAAAATGACAGAAACAACTAGACACATGAGACGAAGTATCTTTTTTGTCTTTAGATGCTGTTTTCTGCAACAACCTCCTTGGAACATGAGGGTAGTCAGCGTAGGAAAAGCAACAAGCTGCAGATGTAAAGAACTGGGTTCTGGAGGCTTCTACTGAGCTTCTGAAAAAACCCACTTCAGACCTTCCCTACCTCCAGACTTCTTGTGATCCAATTTAATAAGTTTTCCTCATTACTTAGTGTGCACTGGGTCTGTTACTTGTAACCCAAAGTATCTTAAGAGGTGCCATGGCCATTTCTTGATTGTGGTTAATGGCAGGCTTTCTCTGACAGTCACCTTGGGAGAGAGTGAGATGCCTTCTCTGGTATTGGGTTTGCTCATATCTAGCCCTCCTGAACACAGCTCATTCAATGCTCAATCACAGCTGGGGACTACCTCCATCTTTTTGTTCACTGGGTTTGCAGACTGGAAATTTACTCTTTTTTTTTTGAGAGGTTTTTGCTATAGGGTGCATGCGCTCCCCAGACAGACTGAGAGAGACAGAGAGACAGAAAGCGAGAAATCACACCCCAGCGGGATGGCCACGCCATAATCCCTTCTCCTCCATTCTCTTCTCAGGATCTTGGGCACGCACGCACATGCACCCAGCGTGAGTTTTAAGCCACCGGATCTGGGATGCGAACCGCGGTCGACTACGTGAGAGTCCAGCAACGTAGCCATCATGCTAACTGCTGGTCCTCAGACTGGAAATTTAAATCCTCAACCTTTTTAAAGAGGTTTTTGCCTTAGGATGTGTGTGCTCACCAGAGAGAGAGAAAGAGACAGAGATAATGAAAGGGAAAGTGAGAAATCACCCCCCAGCGAGATGACCATACTGCAATTCCTTCTCCTCCATTCCCCTCCTGGGATCTTGGGCATGCACGTACATGCACCCAGCATGAATTTCAAGCCACTGGGTCTAAGATTCATACCATGGTTGGCCATGTGGGAGTCCAGCAACATAATTGCTTCACCATATGCTGGCCCCTAAACCCTCATGGCCCTGCTCAATCAGAAAGGCAGAGGGACGTGGATCTAAGCCAAGGTAGCTGTTTCTGAGAGTAGTTGAGGTGAGAGTAAGGGTACGGGACTGAGAATCTCACATTAAGATTCTAAGTGTAGAATAATTCAAACATTCACGTGTTATAATAACATAATAACCATTAAAAAATTACTGAGTACCTAAAATACATGCCAGGCACTATATCAATATTGTTTATACACATTACCTTACATAATGATTGTTATCACAGTCAGGTGAAGTGTATTATCCCCATTCTATAAAAATTAAGGCTCAGTAAGGAAGTAGAATCCTTAAGAGTCACCCAGCTAGACAGAAGCAGAAGTAGGATGTGAATCAGATATGACTCACTTGAAGACATGTGTCTTTTCTAAAAAAAAAAAAACCCACACATTTAAAATCCTAATATAAATTTCATTGTGATCTTATGAAATTTTAAATTATGCATAATCTGCTTCCCTCCATTCTTTTTAATAATAAAAAATTGGGTAATATTACAGACCTGTTTTAACAAGGAGGAAAGGAGTAGAGAGAGAAATAGGAGGGGATTACATTGCATCTTCCAAACTAATAGTTGTCACAAATTTATTCAATGGGCAACTCACAGGAGTAATATGAAGTAATAATGAAAAGTTAAAAAGATGTTCAGTTTCATGAGTAATCAGAAATGCAAATTGAGGGACCAGCAGTTAGCATAATGGCTATGTGGCTGGACTCCCATGTAGTCAACCACGGTTTGTGTCCTGGATCCAGTGGCTTAAAAACTCATGCCGGGCACGTGTGCCTGTGTGCCCAAGATCCCAAGAGGAGAATGGGCGAGAAGAGATTGCAGCATCGCTATCCCCCTTGGGGGGGGGGTGCTTTCTGTCTCTCTGTCTCTGTCTGTCTGGCGAGTGCATGCACCCTATAGCAAAAACCTCTCCAAAAAAAAAAAATGCAAATTGAAACAATGTAACACTATTTTTTAAGTTTATTTGCTTTCCTAGCAAATTAGCAAGTAATAAAAAAGAATATAATTTGGTGTTGCTAATTATCTGGATAGAGTTTTCTTGGGGGGAGTATGTATGTGTGTGTGTGTGTGTGTGTGTGTGTGTGTGTGTGTGTATATACACACACACACACACACACATTAATTTTAATTTGAGCAGAGAGGGACAGAGTCAGAGAGAGAGAGGGAGGGAGGAAGGGAGAGAGGGAAAGTGAGAAAGTAAGCCATCAGGTCTGGGACTCATATCATGGTGGGCCATGTGGGAGTCTAGTACTCTTAACCACCATGCCACCTGCCAGCCCCAAGGGGTGAGTATTTTGATATACTATTTAAATGGAGAGTGTTTTTGCAATATCTGACAACATTTTAAACCTATGCATCCTTTGACTTGCTGAT